TCCTGCTCCCACTATCCTGATTCTATCCCGTTCCCAGTGCAGACACTATCCTGCTCCCAGTCCAGGCTCTACCCCGGGATGGTCGCCAATCGGGTGCCCGAGTCCCCTCCGCTCCCGGAAAAACTGAAGCTTCTTCAATTGTGTTTTGCAGCAGCAGCTCTGTATTTGTTAAAAGTTCTGAAAACAAACTGGAGCAGCTTCACGGGGAGCGCCTCTCCAAATCGGACTCCTTCCCAGATGTGGACGATTTACAGCACAGTAGGCAATGTTTCAGTCTTGGTCCAGATTGAGCCAGGAACCGGTCCGCCCCCCTCCCACCGCCCCCTTCCCTTCCCTTCCCTTCTGTCCCAGTGCTGTTTGTAATGCTGCTCGCTGCTCCGACCCTCTGCTGGTGGAAGAAGCAGCCGCTGACTAACTGCAATGGGTTTGCAATCGGCAGGGGTGACTAACTAATCCTCCAGAGGAAACCAATTAAAATCCACAAGGGAAGGGAAAGACGCTGTGTCCAGCTCCTGTAGGTCTGGCGGTGGGGGCGGTGGTGTTCTGTCTGAGTTGTTGCCGCTGGGACAGCCTATATCAGACAAACTTACAAAGAGATGCAATCTCCTCTTTCTTTCTCTCTCCTGCCTCCTCCTCATGTGTAACCCTTGACACTTGCCTCTCACTCCCACTTCTCTGTCTATCACTGTCAAATGCAACCCTTGATTTTTTTTTCCGTTACAGACTGTCTCTCGAGATCAGTGCAAGCACCACCTCAGGTACCACATACATACACTGCTGACATCCAACTCTCCCATTCCCACACCCAATACTAGGGCACCAGGACTTTCCTCCAACTAACGATTGCAAAGGCAAAACCCCTTAACTTTGTCCGTCTGCTGCTTCTCTGCTCTAGTCCACCCCTCCTCCTGTCACTGTCTCAGGCTGAACCGGGACATTCTCCCGTTATTTAAACCTGACTTGAGTTTCTAGTCGTTGTCTTTATTCTGTCACGGGATGTGGGTGTTTACTGGCAAGGGCTGTATTTGTTTCCATCCAGAACTACCCTTAAACTGAGGGGCTTCTCACGGCCATTTCAGGGGCCAGGTGCGACTCTGTCTCTGTGACCTCCTCCAGCCCCTACACCCCCTCCCTATCTGTCACCTCTTCAAGTCCCAACATCCCTCCCTATTTCTGTCACCTCCTCCAGTCCCAACACCCCTCCCTATTTCTGTCACCTCCTCCAGTCCCAACACCCCTCCCTATCTCTGTAACCTCCTCCAGCCCCTACACCCCCTACCTATCTCTGTCACCTCCTCCAGCCCCTACACACCCTCCCTATCTCTGTCACCTCCTCCAGCCCCTACAC